GCAGTGCTGTGTGTATTGCATGAAGTGCTGCTGGTGCTGCTCCTGCTTGGTGATTTTGGGTCAGCTGCCTGAAAAGAGAGTGGGTAAGTGCTTGGGATGCATCTGGTTGGTAGGGGAGAGACAGATAGGAGATGACACACGGGCACAGATGTATCGGGGGGAATATCTGCTGGGTCCAGAGCACAGTTTGTCTGGGAAGTGTCTGCAGTCAGCTCTGGGGATGGGGTGCTGGGATGGGGTGCAGGGTCCTGTCCCTTCTCTGCCACTTGGTGAATCCCTTCATCTCTGCGTTGTCTAATCACTGAAATGGGATGAGGAGGAACTGTTGCTGGACAGGTTGCTGAGGAAGCGTTCTCCAAGGAATGGCTGTGGGAGCAGCACTGAAACCTGTTATGTTATCCCTTGGCCCTGCTGCATGGGGACGTAGAGGAGAAGCCAGTCTGGCAGAGCAGTGGGGTTTGGCCCCTATGGCTGCTTTGTGCCTAGGGGACAGAGCTGGGCTGAGGCTGAGAGGTTCTTTTTAGCACTGGTGAGCACGCAGCTGTGCTTCACTGGGCAGTAATAACCTGCAGGTTGAGGAGCTCAGGGCAGCCCAGTGCTGGTACTGTTGCTCCCTGTGTTCCCAGCACTGCAGCTGTGTTTGATATATCCTGGATCCCACCTAGCAGGCTGAACAGCCTGCTGCTTGCACCAGCACACAGCATCCCTGCCGCCTTCCAGGGAGGGAGGTGTGTTTCAGGTAAGCAAGTGGGGCTGCCGGGCTGTCGTTAGCCAGGCTGCTGGCTGCTCTGCTCTCTCGTAGAGAACAGGAGCAAAGCTGCAGTGCTGTGTACGTGGCTTTTCTGTGGGTAGGGAGCTGAGGCTTTGTACAGGGTGTGGGGTGAGCCATGGGGCTGGGGCCTGTGGCAACACTGTGGTGGTGGTTGTGCTGTTGTAGGACTGGTGCTCGGTGCCGTTCAGGGATGCCCAGGCTCTCAGGAAGCCACAGCTCGGCAGCAGACGGTGCACCCCAGGGCACAGCCCGTCCATCTGCCTGCACAGCTCCTTCCTCAGGGCTGGCAGCAGGCAGGGCTCTGTGCAGTGTCACACTGAGGCATTTTAATTAGAGAGGTGTGGGGCTCTGAGGGGGTGCCAGGCAGAGCATCCTTCCCTCTCTTGGGTGCGTTTGGAGCAAAGGTCCCGATATTGTAAATGGACCCCTGGCGGGATGTGCTGTGGGGAACGTGGTCTCCCTGTGAGCTCTGTCTGTTGCGTCCCCTATGAGGTGGAACTCCTCCTTGGGTTGTGCCACTGCCCCCACTGACTCTGTGCCACCCCAGGGAGCTGTGGTGTGAATGAGCAGGCTTCCTCTTCCACCTTCAAGTTTGGGTCATGTGAGCCAGCATGGCAGGGCTGTGGTAGAAGCTGTTCATCCTTGGCTGAAGCTCGTTCAGGTTGTGGTTTCAGAGGCTGATGGTGCAGAGGGTCCGTCCGTGCTGCTGCTCCATTTGTGGGTCAGCACCTGGGAGGAGGTAAGAGGGGATTCTCCCTCCCCTCTCTGCTCCCATATTGCCAATGTTCCTCTCTGGCCCGCTGCTAATTTTGACGCTGCCCTAAATAGAAGCTGAGTGCATCTCATCTGCTTTGCTTAGCATACAGGAAAATTGTTTTCCTTCGTTTACTGACTCTGGCTCGCAGCTTTAACCCTGTCAACACACAGCTCTCCACAGCACAGGGCTCCCTGGTAGCACTCTGCATGCCTAGGGAACAGCCCTGTGCTGGGATCAGCACTGCACACCCTCACCAAAGGCCATCTGCAGAGCTCTGCTGTGCAGCAGGGAGCACAGGAGCTGGGCTCGCCCTCCTGGTGCAGCACCCTGCCCATCTCCGGCATGGCACAGCAACCAGAGGCTGCTGTGAGTGCTAAATCTTCAGCAACACAACTTAAATATATCACTGTCTGGCGCAAGGTTCTTATTTGGGGCTCTCATGCAAGAACAGTTTTCCTGAACTGTAATTTTGTGGCATTTGCAGCTTGGTGATGGCTGGAGCAAGCAGGGTGCTATGGCACGTCGGAAGGAAGTGGGGGCTGTGATGTGCAGAGGTTACATTTAGCAGCTCAGGAAAGAGAGGTGCTCAGTGTGCCTGAGCCTGGCACATGGCAGCACCGCAGGGGGGCACCCCTTCCACTCCCCACCACTCTGTTCATGGCCCCTTCTCAGAGGCTGGTTTTCTTTGGATCGTCCAGACCAGTGGGTGGTGAGAAAAGAGGAGGAGAGGCTGTTTCTGAGCTAGGAGCACAGAGTTTAAGAGGCAGTGACCCTGGGCAGGTGCAGCGCATGGAGAAGGACGGGCACAGCATGGAGTCCAGCTCTGGGCAGGGCAGGTTGGCAGCATTGCCAAGGTGGTGAGAGGCGGTTGGGGAGTGCTGACTGTTTTATTGTCTTTGCAGAAGATCAACCGGACCCCTTCGGATGAGGAATGCTTCTTTGACCTGCTGAGCAAGTTCCAGAGCAACCGGATGGACGATCAGCGCTGCCCGCTGGAGGAATGCCCGTCGGAGGCTGCGGAGGCAGCAGCCACACCAGTCCCAGCCCTAGAAGAACGGATACGTAAGCATGGAGGTGTTGATAAGTAGCCGTGGCTCCGGGTCGTGCTGCTGCCATGGCATGGCTGGCTGTGTGGTGTTGCTGTGTGATGGACCAGGTGGGCTCTGGCAGGAGGGGAAGATGCTGCTGGGTGTTCTGAGCGTGAGCACAGTGGAAAAAGTTCTGGGTTTTGTACAGCTGTTGGATGCTGCGATGATAGGTGTTGCGTAAGGATGGAGAAGGGCAGCAGGATGGATAAACAAGAGGAAGCTCTGGGCGTGCAGGCAGCGAGCTTTGCTTGTAGGAAGAACATGGATAAATGGAGGAAACCATCTGACAAATAGGATGGGAAAGGCAGGCCAGGGCCGTGTTTGTGCTTTGGGTTTGTGTCTTTTCTATGACAGTGTGGTGAGGTGCTTTGATTAAAGCTAACAGGGTGTGCAGGTCCCTCTGTTGCTCACAGGGATGCGGGTCGCTCCCAGGTGAGTGGTTTCTTCTGTGCTAAAAATAAGGTGGAAGCAAACATCACTTTTTCAAGATGTGTTTCTGATGCAGAAGTGCATTTGGCTGGGACAGCTGTGTACCTTATGAGTAAGAAGCTTTATTAAGAGCATTCAAGTAGGCAGACTTTCTGTTCATCCATCACTTGGTCTCTGAGCTTTTTGGACACGTTGCTTGAAGTTTCTTTGTGAGCTGAAGGGCGTCAGTGCTGCAGTTACTGTGCATTCCTACAACTCCAAGAGCTGGGGCCGTTGGAGCAGCAGTGTCAGGATCTTGGGACACCCTGAAGTGCTTTGTGCTCCCGGAGGCGATGCCTCCCAGGCTGGATTTCTTACAGCTCCACTTGCTTGCCCCCATCCTAAGTGCAGTTCCTGTTCTGTGAGTGTTTTGCTGCCCAGCAGCTGCGAGGAGCCAGCAGGACCCATGCACTGTGTGCTGCCCAGGTTGGGGGCATTGCTCTGCTGTGTGGCTTAGCCAGGCCTTGACTCTGCACATTACCTGCCTGCAGTTACACCCTTGGGACCTCTGCAGTGCCCAGTAAGGAACCACAGCAGTGCACAGGAACTGTACAGTCACTTGCAACTGCTGGTGTCTGCACCAGGGTGGAAATCAAAGTGGCAGCAGCATCCTGCCAAAATCTGTGCCTTACCCTACATGCTAGGCAATGCAGCAGATGCAGACTGCAGGTTTTTGGGAGGTGGCTGCCATGTACCTGCAGGTAGGGCTGTGCCCCAACACTGGCATCCAGAAAGGGTGTGAGTGGTTGCACGACTGGGCCGTGGGCTTTGATCCCTGCTTTGATGGTAGGTTTTTGCTTGCTTGCCTTGTTGGCAGTGGGATTGTTCCTGCTTACCATGCAGGGTGGAAGGGAATGGCGCTGGACACAGAAGCTGGTGTCCTACTCAGCTCAGCCCTGGGAGGCTTCTTAAACAGGGGCTGAAGTCTGTTGGTTGAACAGCGTTTTGGTGAGAACTGGTGAGACTGTGGTAAGCAGGAATGTGACCCTGGTGTGCTTCTCTCCCCCTCCCAGCACACTCCTCCCTGATGGCATCCCCGCAGACAGAGGAGTTCTTCGATCTCATTGCCAGCTCGCAGAGCAGACGGCTGGATGACCAGCGTGCCAACGTGGGCAACCTGCCAGGCCTCCGGATAACACACAACAACCTGGGGCACCTGTGCATGGAAGGGGACGCCCAGGAGCCAGGGGATGAGTTCTTCAACATGCTGATGAAGTGTCAGGTACAGCAGGGCTGAGCGGGAAGGAGGGGTGGGCTGCTTTCTTCACCATCAACAAGCAGTGCCCCCCTGCTCTCACCAGGCTGGCTGGGGGCTGTGGGCAGCAGCTGCCTACCTGCAGGCTGTCAGCGTGCAGCCCTAACCCCTGTTCTTCCCCTGCAGTCCTCCAGGATAGACGACCAGCGCTGTGCACCACCAGACTCCATCCCCCGTGGTCCCACCATGCCAGATGAGGATTTCTTCAGCCTCATCCAGCGGGTCCAGGCCAAACGCATGGATGAGCAGAGGGTAGATTTGGCCTCAGCACAAGAGGAGGCAGAAGAGGAGCAGCAAAGGCCTGGTTCCAGCTAAGAACTGGGGTTAAATCTGGGGGGTTTGTTTTAGTTTCATTTGTTTGGGGTTTTTTTGTTTGTTTTTGTTTTGTTTTTCAAGAAGAACTTAAGTGTAGGTGGTTTCAAACCAGAGTGCTCCTGCACCACCAGACTTCTTCCAGGATCTGCACCTCAACTGCACTGCACTTGTTCACAGGAAGGGACTGTTTTTAAACAAGGGTTTTTTTAGGAGATGTGGCTTCTGTAACAATGGGCACAGCTCAAGGGAAGAAGACCTTGGCAGCCCCTCTGCTTGTCACCTAAAGCTCCAGGAACTCACACTGGCAGCTGAAGGAGGAGCAGGTACTGAAATGCAGTCTCAATCTTTATTTCTAAAATACTTTTAATAGGGGAAGGGAAGAGCACCTTTTCCATTTTGCAGTCACATCTGCGTCATGAGATGACACAAGTTGTTCTGGATCTTTTCCTGGAACATCTTCATCAGTTTTGTTCTTTCTGCAGAAGAAAACGGGCCCAAATCAGAAGCTGCAAAGGACCTTTTAAAGCTCACCCCACCCCTGGCTGCAGCTACAGTCCCCCATGCTTTGAAGCTTGTTCTGGGGTTGCAATGAACTCTGCAGTGAGAGCTGTATGCTGTCCCCTCTGCTTCCTCAGCTGCTCAGATTTGTGCCAGAAGCTCCAAAGCAGGAGCTGGGGCTCTCCCACTTTTACCTTTAGTGGAATCTGGAGACCTCCAGAGAACAAGCATGGGACAAAGCCTGAAAGGTAAGTGCCAGCTATGCAGCCTGCATTGCAGCCACAAGACCAGAGCTGATACTTTGGAAAGAAGGAAGAAAGTCTTCTGCCCATTTATTCAGCACAGAAATCAAACTTAGCTGAACTCATTGTTTCTGGTGCAGCTGAGCCACAAGCCTCACACTGGACTGTCCAGTGTGCCTGAGGCAGAAACCTGCATCTGGCACTCACCTGCTTTGTAAGCCAGCAATGTTTTCTGGCTATGGCTTGTCAGGAGAGCAAGCAGAACTATCCCCTGCAGCTGGCAGTGGAGGACAATAGCACTCCCCTCATTTCTCCTGAAAGAAACCAGTGCTGTGCCCCAGCAGACCTGCTCTCAGCAAGGCAGCCCTTATTCTGCACACTGTCTCGTCTCACACTAGCAAGAAATGGAGCCTTGGTGACAGCTTCAGGTTGGGATTGTTACTGGGAAGTCAGTTTCACCCTGTATGCAAATGCAAGGGTCTACATTTACTTTCATCCCTTTTGGTAAAGTTGGAAATGCAAGCCCAGAGAAGAAGGGCAGCAGAGATCGAACTTCAGGAGGTGGAATGCTTGACCAGAGAGGCTATCCTGGACTTGAGGAACTCCAGTAATGAGTTCTGCCAAAGCAGATGTTTCCTATAGGGAACAAATCAGCACTTTCTAATCAAAATGCATTTGACAGAGACATTTCCTACCAGCAGTAAGATTTTCAGACCAGTGATGCTGCTCACCAGGCATTTAATCTGCCTATACTGACCATGGGAGGGGTGGCTGTATTTCAGCTGCTGCCAGGGAGCACTCACCTGCTGCCCAGAGTGCTGGGCTGAGCCTCTGCCTCCTTCCTGGGACAGGTCAGACAGCTGAGACCAGGCAGGAGAATGTGCACAGCCACGTGTATACCCACCTAGCTTGTACCTGTAAAGAGGACAACAGTGGAGATGAGGACTTGACCAGCTCCAGGCTTGGCCCTGTGCAGCTCTCAGCCAGGTGGTGAACTGGAATCTGACCATTAAGCTTTCAGAGGTGTTAATTATTTGCCATATACTTGAATGTACGAGCTTATTTATTTTTTACATGTGCATTTGCTAATGTCATTTTAATGGGGGATTTCCAACCCACAGGTACTTTTTTCTAAAAAAAAAAAATAAAAAATAATCTGCCAAATGAATTAATATATTAGAAACAAATGCAGCTCATGGGTAAGGGAGGATTGTGCTTAATAAATATTTGTGTCTAAGCTTCAGTGGCAAAAACTCATTTTCCTTATTTTTTGGCCACCTTTTCTGCTTTGCTGGCAGCAGAGCTGATGGTGGCTCTTGGGGATGGGAGAGGGGGTACAAGGTGTGCTCTTGGGGCAGCTGTTGCCACATGTACATGTGTTAAGAAAAGGGTGCACATGTGCACATACCTATCCCTTTACCTTACCTGCACCCAGCTCTGTCTGCCTTAACTCCCTTCAGCTGCTGCAGAGAAAGTTCCAAAGCCTGAGCACTCCCTACCCCTAAACACCAGTCAAAACTCAAGAGTACAGGAACAACAGGGCATCCAAAGCAGCCTGTGACTGTCAAGGATTTGCTTCTCCCAGTGAGCTCAAGCCCTCCTATAGGTATAGGGATGAACCCTTCCTCTCAGGCTAGGTGCTTTGGTACCTCAAAAAACAGATCTTGTTTCCCTGGTGGCAGCTGGAAGGGCAGGAATTTCTATGCCCTGCCATGAGCCCTTAGTGAAGATACTCAAAAAGCAGCAGGCAGCAGTGCAAGCTCATTCCAACACAGCAGGAGTGAGCAGGCCATTAGACTTTGCTAGAGAGGGAGCCAGAGAGTAGCAGATTTTGGATCCTGAGGCTTGTGAGAATAAAGCCAAGTCCCAGTTGGTCTTCCTATGCCTGGTTACCTTGTGGAGGCTACTGCCAGTCCCAGTCAAAGATAAACAAAGAGCCACCAGCTTGCTCTCATCAGGCATTCTTAAGCTTCTCCCTACCCAGACGCATGAAACTCTGTACTGCCAAAGGCTTTGTGTGTGACTTAAGGACAGAACCGTGCCCCCAACTATGTGAAATTTTGAGATTTAGATTCTCAGGAATCTGAACAGGTGATGATTCCTGTAACTAAGTGATGAGAGCCTATCTCACCTCCTGTCTCACTGTCCTGAGCAGCTGCAGAAGGGACTATGTGTTCTCTAAAAGAGAACAACACAGCATCCTTCAATAGCAGTCACAGCGTGCAGAGAACAAGAAGAGCTCGGTTTTGTGGAGGGAGCAGCTCACTGCTGGCACCCATCGGATAAAGGAGGGATTGCTGGGGCTAACTTGGCCTTGGATTGCAAAGGGCAGCTGCTGCAGCAGCTGTGAAATACAGAGCAGGGTGCTGGCCCCAGTGCAGGGCTGTAATGGGGAGGAAATCTATTAAAAACATCAGAAACACAAAATACTGCTCCTTCTTACCTCGCTTTCTAAGTGTCCTGAGAGACACTTGAGAGCTCGTGCTGAATGTGTGCCTGGTGGGGGTTTGTGTATTGCAAACTCATCTGCCAAGTCACATCAGGTCTGAGTCTCAGCACTTACCTCAACCCTCTCCTGAGCCTCGTGCTGCTCCTGTCCCAGCCATGATCTCCAGCAGGCTGGAAGGGCACCCAGCCCACGGGGAGGGAGCTGCTGGCTCTTAGCAGCCCAGCACTTTGAATTCCAGTCTGCAGCCAGCCAGCTTCCAGAGGCTCTCCACAGCAATCTCCCCAGCTGCTGATAGGCCAGGACACAGAGAGGGTTAACTCCTGCATGGTTTTGCAGCGACAAGCTCAGTATCTGTAGCACTGAAGATCACAGCCCAGGGACATGCACAGAGGTATCAGCCACACACCTGCAGGGGCTGGGCGGAGGGCTCTCACCTTGCTCCACCTCTCTGCCCCCACTGCAGCAGGGTTGCATTACGTGAGACCCCGTGGAAGCAGCACACTTCACAGCCCCCCCAGCTCCCTTGCACACACACTCACTGCCTCTCCCCATAGGGCTCCCATTTCTATGCACTCTACCAAACGCTCCTGCACCACTGCTGGGCGGCCCATAAGAACACCAGCATCTGCTGCAGCCAACAGCTGCAACCCCTCAGTGTCCCCCAGCAGCTGGATGAACTCTGGAATTTGAATGTAACAAAGCAGGAGAGGCAGAAAGCCAGAGGCGAAGTATTTCCTATTTCACAGCAAAGCTCTTGCAGGATAGGACAGAGGAAAAGAATGCAGCTCTCATCGGCTGCAGTGAAATGCTTCAAGGAACACAGCAAAGGTTTATGGCAGCAGTGCATCCTGTGAATGCTGCTCTGTCTGCCTCAAAATCACTCCTCTGTGCCTCAGGCACCCATCAGTGCACCGTCACTCACCCTGCTCTGCTGCTCCAGGCTTGGGCATCGCTGGTCCCCATCACACCGCAGCTCCAGCAGGCTTTTTCCCTTCTTCCAGAAAGATACGCCTCCCCTTTTTCAGAAAGAAAAAAAAAGAGATTAAAAAAACCCAAACTTCTTCAAAATAAAGCATGACATTCTTTTAAATGTAAGCCATTAGCAACAAACTCTCCTGTTTTCTTATCAAAGCCCATCAGAGATGTTCAACCCTCTCCCCTTCCAGCTGAAGGTCCCAGAATGTCTTTAAAAGCACCAGCTTCCTTCCCTGTTGCACAGCACAGTCTGTATTTGGTTCTGAAGAGTCCCATGGGCTGCACCCTGCCTGCTGCAGCTGTTTCACAGCACTCTGAGCTTCCTGTGCCCTATTCCAGGACTCTGCCCTATAGAATCACCCTCTCTGTGCAGCCTGCTGCTTCGTGCTCTGCCCAAGCTGCTGGCCTAAGCCTTCAGAGCTGCATCCAGCAGCAGGAGCAGCAGTAAAGCAGCCTCTCCCCATCCTCAGAACTCGCAGACAGGTGCCCATGGGTGAGCAGCACCGAGCTCCAGGGACCAGAAATACTGCAAAGACATGTAGCTACAATTCCTACTGTGAGAGCAGAAGCTAGAACAGCCTGTCTGTAGCCAGGGGCACAGAAAGGTAAGGAAAACACTATTACAAAAGTTAGGTTATAAATGAACTGTTTCCAAGACAACGCAGATCCTTTAACAGCAGCTCCATTCCACCCCATCAAAGCCATTTGAGCAACGGCACCACAGTGCTGTTTTCAGGTACAACACCAGAACCACTTTTCCAGCAGAGCTAACAGGAGCCAGCAGCTCACAACAGGGTGAGCACACTGCAGTGTTCCACTCCTATTTCTTCACAAATACATGGATTGCTCCCCCCTCTAATTGGCTCAGAGAGAACCATGTTTCATGAGGATGTGAACACACACAAAACCCAGCTGATGGATGCCCTTCAAAGCTGTCTCATCACCCTGAGCTTACCTATCACCAGAGAAATATGATTGTTTCCTTGTCACTCTGATCCATACTAATAATGCAACATATGTAGAACACTGCAGATGAATGAGCTACACTTGTTAATGCATGCAATGCACTCACTGACTACTTGAATGATGAATCCATGAGCAGCATACTTGACTGAAAGAACTGGGTTTGTTCAGCTTTGGAAAGGGATTTTTATTGTTCTTTAATGGAAGAGTGATAATAGAGAAGGCTCTCTTCATAAATCCAGTGTTTAGAAAGAAGGTAATTTGCACAGGATGAAACATGGGAAATTTCTGTTAGGTACTGGGACTTATTTTATTCTTATATCATAGGATAGGTCAAATACCAGACCTAAAGAGGCTATGGGGCTTCCATCCTCAGAGAAACTCAAGCCAAGATCCTGAATGTCCTTACCAAATCGAACCTCCTTTAAGCATAGTGGTAGGGCTTCTCCAACCTCAATTACTCTCTGATACCGAGTTTAAAAACACAAGAAAGCAGATACTTTGTTGTACTAAGAAGTTAACAAACCTCAAACCCATAAAAATTATGCAAGCAAAAGGAGCCCAAAGAAACTGCAGTATGATCACCTTACTGCCTGATTCATCACTACCAGCACAGAGCACTCGGGTAAACACCTACATTTTTCATTTATGAAGTTATTATTTTCTCTTCTAGCTGATCTTAACATGCAGTAGTGGCATTAATAAGCACCTCAATGTCTGTCAAATAAGACACATTTCTAGGTGCTCCACTTATCTCCAACGTGCTTTACAAATACTAATTGTTCCTTCACGCCCATCCTCCCCCTCACCAGTAAGGAAGTTGCATAACCCCAAGCACAGGGCTGCTCACTGCATCACCACCCCATGAGGAATTTCCAAGCAGGGGCAGCCATGGGGCAAAGCAGAAGTGGTGTAAGCCCAAATAAAGACCTTCAACCCCACGACATGTGGGGCACAGAACCTTAACTCTGGAAGATACCACAGGAAAGAAAAAGGCAGCACTGAAGTGAGTGCAGTATGAACAGCCCAATGCTCCTGCAGGCTCATTGGGCTTTGCAAACTCACCTGTGGTCAGGGCCATGTCCTCAGGTGGTCCCAATTGCCTCTTCTGCTCAGCTGCCATGTGATGCAGCTCCAGGAGCACTGCAATCAGCTGCTGCTGTGCAACACCTGGACAAGGCCAGAAGACACTGCTAGAACCTCCAGCTAGTGCTACACCTGCTTGAACCAAAGCACACGGTCAGAAATTATTTGCTCCATTCTCACCTCAGAACAAAGCAAGCTTCCCAATGCCTCTGAAGCACCTACAACTGCTTTAAGAAAAGTGCCAGGAAAAATATCCAGAGCCCAACTCTGTCATTATTAGCTTGGGCAAAGGCAAAACTACACCAACCAAAAACACGACAGAGAGAGGAGACACATTTATTCTAAGCACAGTCCACTGAAATCAAGGAGGAAACATGAAAGTCTCTCTTGCCATCAGCACAATGGCACCAATCCCACTTGTCACGTCCGTTCCTTGCCGTCAGTCTCTGGGGGGGGATCCCCACTTTCTCCCTCTGAAGGACGGCTCTGAGGGCCAGCATCTGCCACGTCTTCTGGAAGCAGCTCCAGGGCTTCCTCAGCAAGCACACGTCTCACCTTCTCCCCTTTGGCTGCCAGGATCTCCTCGATATTCCTTAACAGCAATGTGAGAGCCAACAGTGATGCTACAGCAAAGGTCAGAGGGAAGAGCCTGGCACGAGGCTTTGCTCTCGGTCATTAACATCACACAGTGAGCTGACACACGAGTACCGACAAGAAATCCTTCTGTAAGCCGTTTGGGAAGCAGACAGAACTATCCAAACCTCCTAGGGCTGTTCTTACCCCTTAGGATCAATAATTCAGCAATTACTGCAAACCTCGTTTTTTAAAGGGAGTGAGAAACCAACGAGGTTCAACAGCACGAGCGAGCTGACAGCATCTCTGAGATGCTCACAGGTGGGGGAACCCAGCAGCGACTGAACGGAGCCTGAGGGAGCACCGAGCAGCACACGCAGCGGCGCGCGCGAGGCCCGCATCCCAGCCCGCTCCGCGGCGCGGCGCGACGCCGTGAGGAGCCGCGTGGCACGCAGCCCCGCCCCGCCCGCACCTCTTGCCCTGCAGGTCGGAGAACCAGCCCAGGTTGTCGGCGATCACGTGATGGCTGTGGCAGCCGGGACACGTGACGATGACGACGCCGCGGCTGTAGGCCAGGCGGGAAATGTTCTGCGCCGAGCGGCGCCGGCAAACCTGCAAAGCGCAGAGCGGCGGCTCCCGTCAGCAGCGAGGCACCGATCCGCCGGGCCGCTCCCCCTCCCGCCCGCCGCCCCAACCCCGCACCTTGCAGGTGTACACCAGGCGGTAGTGCGATGCCTGCAGCCGCCCCACGCTGTCCGGCGGCGCGGTGCAAGCATAGCGCGGTGCCGGACGGTGCCGTGGAGGCGCTGAGGCGCTGAGCGCGGCGCGAGCGGCCGCCCGCAAAAAGCGGCGCAACATGGCGGCCGCGCAGGCGCAGAAGGGGCGGCGCTAAGGCGGCGCGGTCGCTCCTACAGAGACCGCCTTCAGCGTCCGTACGCTAACGGCAGTACTTTAAACACAGAATCACAGAATGGCCCGGGTGGGAAGGGTCCTCGAGGATCATGAATCTCCACTCCTCACACTTAATATCAGACCAGGCTGCCCAGTTCCCCATCCACCCTGGCCTTGAACACCTCCAGGGATGGACGGGGCATCCACAGCCTCTCTGGGCAGCTGTTCCAGCACTCTCAGAGCAAAGAACTTCCCCGATGTCCAACCTCAATCTGCCCGCCCTCAACTTAAAGCCGTTTCTCCTTGTCCTGCTGTTACCTACCTAATCCAAGAGCTCATCCCCCTCCTCGTTGTAGGCTCCCTTTAGCTACTGAAGGCTGCCATGAGGTCACCCCACAGCCTTCTTTGCTCCAGGCTGAACAAGCCCAGCTCCTCAGCCTGGCTTCCTAGGGGAGGTGCTGCAGCTCCCTCATCATCTTTGTGGCCCTCCAGACCTGGACTCTGTACACACAAGAGCAGAGAGGGACAACCACCTCCCTGCCCCTGCTGCCACCCCTCTGCTGATGGAGCCCAGGACACCATTTGCCTGCTGAGCTACAAGCGCACACTGCTGGCTCATGTTCAGCTTTTCATCCATCAGGACCCGCAGGTCCTTCTCCACAGGGCTGCTCTCAAGGACCGCTCCTTCCAGTCTGTATGGGTGCCTGGGATTCCTCCGGCCCAAGTGCAAAACTTTGCACTTGGCTGTGTTGAACCTCATCAGGTTCACCCAGGTCCACCTTTCAGGGCTCTTGAGGTCTCTCTGAATGCCATCCCTTCCTTCTACCATGTGAACCACACCACTCAGCGTGGTGTCATCGGCCAACTCGCTGAGGGTGCACTCAATTCTGTCACTGATGTCATGTTAAAGAGCATCAGTTCCAAGACAGAGCCCTGGGGGACGCCGCTCGTTACCAGCCTCCATCTGGACATAGAACCATTAATCACCAAACACTGTGCTGTTTATTGAGGGATCCGAAATGCTGTCCAGATGCAAACCGGAGCCTCGGCCGGCCCCTAGCTGCCCTCAGTGTCCGTGTTGTCGCTGCCTGTGCTGGGCTCCCAGTCGGCCTCGGGGCGGCTGCCAGGCACCCTGCGCAGGGCACGCTTCCTGGAAAGGGGACTGTGTGAAACTGAGCCCTGAGGGAACCGAGCGTGGGAGGGGAGAGTGTGGGATGGGGTGGGATGGGGCCTGACCTGCGGTACCGCTCAAAGCAGTCCTTCATCCTCCTCCGCTCCTTCTCCGACAGCTCCTCGTGGGCTGAGCTGCACTCCTCGAACTGGAAAAAAAAGGCAAAGAGATGAACGAGGTCGCGCTGAAGCTTGGATCGATATTTTTATCACGTTGGGCACAGCTGACCCCTTTTAAGGCTGAGGTGCTCTACCTGCTGAGCCCCTCTCGGATTTGTTTGCGCCCCGAATCATTTCACTTGGAAAAGAAGGGGAGAAAACAGAAACTTTGCCTTAAAATGACAAAGAAGAGCTGGTTGCTACCACAGCTCACAGTTTGAGAAGAACTCCAGTGTGTGCCAGCTTTTCTATCTGCTTGGGCCTGCAGTGCAGCACGCTCATTCCTGGGCTGTCTGCTCGTGTCCAGGATGCAAACACAGTTTTACCATGCTTACTATTCTCTTTCAGTTGCAAATTTGAAATTCTGTTTCCTGTATCAACAGTGGTACTTGCAGACAAACTGAAAAACGTCCACATCCAGAGAAAAAGGCCAGAAATAATTAGAAGTTTCTAAGCAAAGTTGAGAAATACCCAGCAGATGAGTGCTCTGCTGTTCAGAGTTCACCCTTTTGCACAAAATGCTTTCTGGAAAAGCAGCAGCTGCCTCTGTGTCCCTCATTCCTGGTAAATCCATCATCAACAAGAACATGAAAAGTTACAGACCCCAGTCTGACTAAAGAGAATCGTTGTGGGCTCTTACAGAGGGTGATTCTGCAGGCAGATTGCTTTCTCGGATGCTGAATTGCTGGTTTTGTTCTTCACAGCAGTCTTCTAAAGGCAAATAAAAAAGCAAATCACAGTTTCAATCATAGTTGCCACGTTGAAGTAACTTCTCTTTCCACCAGCTCACCAAACAGCAATAGCTGTGCAGTGTAAGAGCTGCCCAACAGTACACAGCATCAACAGCAAGCTGAACCCAGGCCTCAAAACATTCAGTATTCAATCTTGTGATCACTGCACAAGACCCGGCTTATTTTACTTGACCTCTGAGTCTTGCTTAGGGTGATGGAATTCCCCACAGGATCACCAGAGACTCCATCTGTCTAATTTCTGCTTGTGGAGGACCAAAATAAACCAGTGCAGAGCAGCACCTCTGTCTAACATCACTAAAAGAAGAATAATGGACAGAACAATAAAAAAAAAAACAAAACACACTAAACATAAATCACAATTTGTCCCTGCTCCCCAGCAGCTAAGATGTGCAGATCAAGATACTCAACAGGTCGTATTTTAGCAAAACTCCTAATGCAGTGATCAGACAACATGGTGTGCAATTTTGATTTGAGTGAAGTGGAGCAAGAAAAGGCTTTCTGTTTCAATGTGGTAGCTCCTGTGAAAAATCTGCCATCTCAATGAATGATCATTTAAATCTTTCAGGAGAGGACCTTTGCTTGTTTCCTTCCTTTCGCAACGTTTCAAAAGCAAATCTCGAGTTTTAAAGGACCCTGTTTATTCTTCTCTGCACTGCTGAATCGTTTCCATTGGGGCTGCAGAACCAGTGACAGTATTAATTATGTGGTTCTGCTTTTGTGAAAATAGCCTGCAACGTAAAAGAGAGGAAATAAATGTCTCTGCAGAAGGACACATGGTTCAGCTGGAGTGGAAGGAGGCTTGTTCCATTCTCAGCTCAGCCACAAACACAACAGGAGCTGTTTCTTAAAGGCATTGTGTACCCGGGTAATTTTTGCCAGACAAATTCAGAAGGCAGATGACTGAAAAAAGTCATCTTTTGAGCACAAAGCAAATAACACCTGGAGATTTTTCCCTCCAAAAAGCTGTACAAGCATTCACTGTTCCCAGATACCGGGAACACGATCTCCTTTTTTGTAGGTGAGAAGGGTAGCAGAATGCCTCGGGGCTCCAGAAGCCTAGATTTACATGCACCTATTCTGAGTCATCTCAAGGAGGTGCCAAGCATCCCCTGCTGAGCAGCATCACTCACAAACTGAGTCCTCATCAGTCAGGGTACCTCTTCTGCACTAACATAAAAAGCATTCCTATTCCTGTCCCTCTGGGCAACCCCATCAAGAGCTGTACTGGATGTTCTCCCCAACAAAAGCCTTACTTTTAGGCAGGTGCGTATCTTCATCTAGACGACCATGAAGAGTGAGCTATTGGGACACAAACAGATCAAGATCATGAGAAGCACTCCTTATTCTTTCTCAGACAGTAGCTAGGAACAAATGCAGGAAGGTACATAACCAACCTTTCCCCACTGTATCTTGCTGTAAGCAAAATAGGAAACATTCTGAACTTGAAGCTGCACATCCACACACAGACTCATCCTCCGTGACTACAGCCTCAAACATTTTGTCTCTAGATGATGTGCCAACCTCTACCACAATTAAGTTATGAACTAAGTTACTACACAGGATAATACTCATTTTTGCCTGTTCTCTCAGGGAGACATTAGAAGCAACACAAAATGATTTGAATCTTCTGGTCTGCTTGGACTCAATAAATCTTATCACAGGTGCATCCCCAGGTGCTTAGAAGTCTCAGGACACAAGAAGAAGCTGCCCTTAGCCATTAGCCTGCTTTGCTACCTTTGGACTTGATGCCACTGCCATAAGCCTGACCCACAGAGAGCAGAGTGCTGTTACTTTGGGCATTAAGACAACTGAGGAATTGCAAACCATCCCAGGAGAAAATAAAATGTAAACAAGGCACCCTACTCACATCCTGGGAATCTCTGGAGGAGGTGTCATCCAGGTCAGAAGTCTGAAATAAAACCAGTAAGTTCATCATTCCTCATGAGCAAATAAATGACAGTAATGGAATATACAGGAGACCAGAAGATCCAGAAAATGGAAACATGGACTTCCTTCCTCCTACACTCATGTGACCATTTGGAGAAAGTACATAAGATGCCACACTAAGTAAAAGTCCTCAGACGTCTAATTTAATCCCATGAAGTCTCATACCCTGCTCCTGTTTCACCCAAACGGCTTGTACAGGCTCTGGAGTTCACTTGTGAGTAGCTGCCAATGCCAACGACCTCCAGAAGCACTCCAAACAGGTAAGGCTTCAGCAAACCAGGGTGAGCTCATAAAAACCACCGTGTCTTCCTTTTTTCTAAACAGTACGTGCACGGAAATGTTTACCCAAGCAGGTGGCCACTGCTTGCTGAAATCGGACTGCTTAGGTCTCAAGGTCTCAAAACAGTTTTAGTTGGGTCCTAGACTCAACTTTTCAACTCATCACACACATGACAACCCCCACAGGCGTACCAGTGCAGGTAGCTCCAGTTGCAGCCTTTTCAGCTTGGCTTCAGTAGCCAGTAGCTGACTCTCCTTTTGGAAGAGCTGCAGCTGCAGCTCATCGCATCGCTCCCCCAGCTCCCGAATCTGCTTCCGATAGGCGTCCCTCTCCATCAGGTTCTTGGAGTACTGTGTGTAGAACTGTTCCCTGGTCAGCAGTGCCTGGTGTAAGAGGCAACACCACACAACACCACATTCAGGGTTATGATACCTGCCTGCTTCAAGCAGCAAGCCAGGGATTAGCAGCAGCTTCTAGAGGAACGTTTTATCACCTGGTCTCTTTCTGAGGCCACTTCCTCCATCTGCTGTAAGACAGCTTCCATCCGTCTTTTATACATCTGGGAGTCCTTCCTCAGAGACGTGCACTGTAGTTCAAGTATCTCTTTTTCCTCTGCACACTGTTGAGACATGGCTTGTGGGATTCTAAGCTAGAATCTCACCACTTCTGCTCTATACCACAGATTGCTACAGCCAGACTTCCCTGCAACACGAAACTCAGCCTGCCCTTTTGGAGCAAAGCCAACCAGAAGACCAGGCAGTACGACTAAAAAGCCTACTGACACGTCACATTTACGTGTGCCTGAGCTGCCAATCATGATAAAAGCTCCCATCACCCTACAGCCTTTATCTGCCCATCTCACCCCGCTGACCCCCAGCAGGGATTCATACTGCACCACACACTTTGTCTCGGAGCACCTCGGCTTGGCGCAGCTCCTTGCGAAGGTGGTAAATGGTGTTCAGCAGGTCCCGGCGCTCCGGTATCTGGCTGGCTGTATCTTTCTGCACAGTCTCACAAGAGAGACTCTTCTCCAAGTTCTGCTCCCTGGCAACCTGCTGGACAAAGAAGAACGTGAGATACAGCAGCCATCTAACTCCAAAGTCCAACGTGCTCTGTACGACTTGGGAGAACAAGCCCATAGCCGACCCACCAAATATTCAGCACAGCCCCATCGCTGTGCTGGCTGCAAAAAAAATAATTAATCATTTCTGAAGATTCCTCACCCAGTCACCTCACCAACCTGGAGAGTGTTCTCCAGCTCCTGATTCTTGGCCAAAAGCAACTCCTTCTCCTGCTGGATCTCCCACATCACTTCATGGCTCGGACGTTGCTCTATGGCATGCTTCAGTTTCATCGAGTGCTTACGCTCCAGTTTGCAGTCGTCCTCAGCCTTCATGAGGCTATGCCTCAAGCTATCAATCTACAAGGCGGTTCAGAGCTCATCAGTAACAGACACAAAAGTCTGGTTGCAAAAGCAGTTCTCTCGTGGCAGAGTTCCCCATTCCTCAGACAAGCACGGTGCAAGCTTTTCCCCAATTCTATCTTCCTCAGGAAGCTTGGTGTTCTGGGGAGCTGAGACTTGCCTTTGTGCTAAATGGGTACAACATGCTGGTTCTGCACTGCCCCTGTGAGAGGGCCCAGTCTCAAACGAGGGGAAGACTTAACTCTTCAGAGCACAGCTTGTAATACATGGGCCTACAGGGCTGAGCCAGGGACCACTACGACATACCACCTGCCAAGGAATATGCACAAAACCTCGTAACAGACTAGGCCACGCCAGCCCAGACACATCTGACACACAGCTCAGCCCCTCAGGGATCAAGTAAAGAAGGAAGCTTAGGAACAGGGTCACTCACCTCTAGCAGCAGGTCCCTGTTCTTCATGAGGGCGCTGCTCTTCTCCTCGCTCTGTCTGGCGTAGCTCATTGCCAGGCTGTAGTTCTCATCCTTGCACTTCCGCAGCTCCCTGCTCAGACTGTCCCTCTCCTCCTTCATCTTCTGCACCCGCTCTTGGTGCTTGCGGAGCAGGCTGTCCCTCACCCACATCTCTCTGATCATGTTCTCTTTGGTGTGCAGCCACACGGTGAGCTCCTGGGCCTTCTGCCGCTCCTCCTGCACCGTTCTCTGCAGCTTTGTAATCTCATTCATCAGGAGCTGGCTCAGGCCAGATTCCCCAGCTGTGTCTGTTGGGTGGACAAGTATCAGTAAACTGCTGACCTGTCTGCTCCCACAAACACACACACACACACACACGATTTCCACCCACATATCACTAAAAAGTTTCATTTCAGAACTCAAACATTACCTATAATCAGAGAGAAAACCCTGCTTGGCTCCTTCCCAGTTATTTTCTTATACAGCTGTGGATAATAAAGCTCGAGGCTCTCCATGAAAGCCTCAAAGCCCTTGCGCCCCGTTCGCTGAAGAATGTCCAAAAGAACACCTGAAACAACAGCAATGGTTCCATTAATTTATTCCTCTCTTTACCCATTCCTAACAGAGCAAAGAATTGCCCCAACCTCCCCAAACGGTGTTTCTGTGGTCTGAGCTGGAAGAGCCAAGGCTGCGTTTCACCCACCTGCTTTGCGTTTGCGCATGACCAGGCTGGGGTCATTGAGAACCTGTTCCTCATCATCATGGTTTATCACCTGGCACTGGCGAAGATAAGGTGTTATACGGGAAGGATCTATCACAGAGATCAGCTTCACCCGAAAGTTTTCCAGGCTATTCCAACATGTCTCGTCGTTATCTTCATCCAGCATGGCGGTGAGCGACAAGTGTCAGTGAGCTGCTTCGCCCTTCCTTAAGAAATGAAGACAGGAAACAAGCAAAAAAAAGCAGACTCTAAGCCTCGGGGGAAAGTGTGGGTGGTGGTGTTGAAATCAAGCACACAGCCTTGAATTTAATTCCACGAGTTCTGCTCTGCCTCTCACGGCCACCTCACAGATCTCATCTGTACAGCCTCAGCACAGCTTCAGCTACTGCTCCTCCACAGGTAGGAAACAGGCAGGTAAACAAAACCCAACTTTCCTGTGTCTAGACTTCTATCTAAAATCAGTTTTATCAATTCAAATAAGAAACTGGCATTATTTGTACCTTTTTGCCCCTGTGTGGTAAGACAATTCCACACTGAGCACCTCCTGAAATCCTGCTCATTAGTTACTATGCTCACGTCACAGTGGCTGCAGTAGCTGTGTCATTTCCAGTATCTGCCAGCAACCTCAGCATTCATGTTTTCAGCTGTTTTGTAGGACTGGGAGCAGAAGGGGAAGAGTTCTGACTACGCAGGGGCTGAGATTGCACACAGATCTTACTGCATCTCTCCAAGCACTCATTTCTCTGCTCGTTCATGGAACAGGACTGACACAAGACTAACAGGTCAGTAATTATTACGGAGAAAAAAAAACCAAAAAGGCCAACTCACTCTGCCTGACATCAAAGCAGCCCCAACAGATCATGAGCAGAAAAGCATTTCCCTGTTGATGAGAAGCACACCCTCCCCTCAGAACTGTAACAACAAAAAATCTGATCAAGATAAATCATTCTGCATTATATGGACCAACCTGGGCCTGTGCAGACAACAGCTTTCTTCAACCTCTTCTCCTGGTCTGTCTGCTCTGTCTCTGCAGAAACCTGCCTGGGCTGCAGCTTTCCTTTATACAGGTCATTCCAGGAACCAATCTGTGAAAAAAGAGGAAACTACTTAGCTACCCTCTGAAATAAGAGAAAGAAGAAAAAAGGAAGTCAGAAGGGATGATGGGGGAGGAGGATGAAAGCTGATGACGCTGCAAATCACCAGCATTGCTTCTCTTACACTTACTGTGCCTTGGATGCCCAATCTTTACCACTGAAGTACAAGCTACAATCAGGAAAGCTTCTTTGTGTAGACCGAGAGTGAAAAATAAAAACAGGTACAGATCCATCCAGCTTACTTCAGAGCACAAAGCCAGCACAGATCACACGTACCACCAGCACCTGGCAGCACCAGCCCTGCAGTGAATGGCACACAGAACAGTGGGCAGAGCTTCTGCTGCGTGTGCTTCTTGGAAACGAGCATTAGCTGTAGCAGTTTGTGGAAGACAGAGCACACTGCAAGAGGAAAGCCATGTCAAGGTACTCCTTCCTGCCCCACTAATTGCTTAGGACCCAATTAGAGTGACTTTAATGTCCCACTGCCCCTCTTTTGCAGCTCTGCCTAAAGGGGCCTCACAGAATTGCACACTGAATGTACTGCTGTGACTTGGGGAGGCTGGGCAATGCAGTGGGGGTGAAGCTTCCTACAGCACCTTCCCACTGACTTTTACCAGCTTTGACTCAGCTAGCCCTACACCTCTGTAAGACAAACTGCTGTTTTGTGAATGAGGAAACGAGCTTTTATTGTGATTTGCTGATGGCTGTATGGGAAGGCTGTGGAAGAATTAGGGAAGAATCAAACCTGTTCAGTTCTGCCTTTGTAGCTGCCTGCATATTCATTCTCCACATTCTCTCTGGCTTGCTTTCATGTAGCCTGCAAGCTTCGTTTCTCTCATTAGCAATCACACTCATCCACATATTGCTACAAGCAGTATTTACCACAAAAACACAGAAGGCACAAATAAATGAGAAAAATAAACATCTGTATTTCAACCAGTACTCGAGACTCATTTGATAAAATATTAACCTGCTTCTTACTGAGCAGCATTCAGTCAGCTGTCAAACAAACATCATTACAGCATTAAAAAAAAAAACATTCAATGAACCACATATTCTGAACACAGATAAACATTCACATAAACAGAGGGGAGCACAGCAAGGAAATAACCATCATTGCTGGCTCCCCCAGGTCCCCAACAATTGTTACCCCGCAGCACTCGTGGCAAATGCTAGGCTGAAAGAGAACAGAATTGCTCTGTGCCTAAAAAACACCCCTCCAGCAGTTTTGTTTCATTACTTGCAGCTTGTTTAAATGAGCAGACTTTTTTTTGGTGGTGGGGAAACCAGCCTGGATGTTTCCCTCTGCCCCCCAGCTCTGCCTGGTCAGCTTGTTGCAAGTGTGAGAAGCGAGCAGTGCAAAGAGCATCTCCTGCTGCAGGGCAGGCCTCCTTCAAGTGGCTCCTGTAACACAGCACAAACAGCTCTTAGTTGCAGGACTTTTAAATAGGGAAGCAAACATTTTTGAGTTTCTAAGATCAGTTTTAAAGGAGAAAACAAAATAAAAACAGAATCTAATTCAGCAAGCAAGCAAATCAAATGGCAGTCACACTCACTTGGTCCATTTCTCTACAGGCCTCAACACATCCAGACCCTGCACTTGTACACCTGAGAAGCTGCCCAGTTACACACAGAAAGGAAACCATCCAGGGCTTCATTAAACCAGCTAGCTATAATGCTAACAGGCAGCAGCAGGGTCTGAAAGGCTGCCAGATACTTAAACCTCATAGCTTTATAGGTAATTTTATAATGTAAACACCAACTTCCCCTCCTCCTCAACCTGCGTTACTCTTAACGTATGACTAACAGGGCGAGTGCAGACTGTGCCCTAAGGGAACAGAAGTCAAAACCATTTCAAGCTTCTCCTATGGTCGTGATTCATTCTTTGGGCTGCACCACAGGCAAAAGCATTTCAGGTTCTCTCTCTAAAAATGCAAGGTTCCCAGAACAGCTGCTGACGTTACCTCCTCACAGCCTCCTCCTCTTCCTGAACCTTTTCCTGATGCGCAAACTTCTCCTGATTGGAGGAACGCTGGCTGTCCCATCAGTGCAGGTGCCCACGATGGATTGTGCAGCAGTCTCTTCAGTTTCCATGCCCTGCAACACAAGGGGAGCAGACTATTTGCACAGCAGCACGAAACCTAGGAGGATTTGCAAGAAAACCCTTTCAGCCATCTTTTATTTTAGTTAGCACGGCAAGATTTAAAACAATACTCCATTTACACTCAAAATTAAGCACGGGACACAACACTGTATTACCACAATCCTAGCAAACAAAACATCCCAAACACATACAATTTTCAGCCAACACCAGCACTTCTTCCTACAGAGTATGATTCTGTCCCTGCTCTCCAGCCAGAACACACCTGATGTGGTTTCTCTTTGCCTGGACACAACTCTTTACTAGAGAGGCTGTGTCTCCCACAAGTGAGACTGCTTTCCTTTACCTTATCTGGAAAATCAGCATCTCGGTCTCCAGGCTCATCACCTCCTGCTCCATCCGACCGTGCATCCAATTCATCCCCACCGCTCTCATCCTCAGACGCCTCCTCCTCGCTCTGCCACTCCTCTTCATCACTCTCTCCATATTCCCTCCTGCTGGCTGACAGAGTTGTTGCCACTTTTGGAGGAGGCAGAGTTGCTAGCACAGCAGGGAGCGTAAAGGCTGCTAGAAAGCGGGCTTTCAGCAGGAGAAAAGCAGGGTCATCACCCAGTTTCTCATGCACCAGTTCCGTGATAGCATTCAAGTCCACCTCACCCTCAGTCTGATTGCCATCAGGGGATAGAAGACGTGCTGCTTGTTTTTCCAGAGCTGCCTTTTGCAGAAGTAGCTTTGAAAGAGTTTTTAAGTTGCACAAAAAAGGTGGGAAATAAGGCAACCTGGTTTGCAGTGGTGGTACCTGGACACCTTGCTTCCCACTCAGCCATTCCTTCACCAGCTCCTCATCTTCAAAGGAAATCAGGCTATAGTCAAGAAGAGTCTTTTCGGCACTAGATGTGGTTGGCTGGGGTGGAGCACTTGCAGCCTGTGCAGGGGGTGGTTTGGAGGCAATAGGTCTGTACTTCAGTGCCTGCTCAGCTGAGCCTTCAGAAGTTCCTGCAACACTGTCATGAGGAACTGAAGCTCCTGGCTGGAGCACAACCCCTTTGTTAAGGACATTCGAGTTGGAAGATGATCCATTTGTTGTAGACGACTCCTGGTTTTCTCCCAAGCTAACAGCACCCGTCACACAGTGGGAATCAGACCCCTGAGTGCTTGCAGGTGGCTGCATCTGGGGCAGCAGCTGAGCATGTGGGGCTGGTGCACCACCTGGAAGAGCATTCTGAGCTGTAGAAGGATCAACAGCCTTAGAGGAACTGTCTGAACGTGCAGATGTAGCAGAAGAAACACCAGATATGCTGCATGCAGGACTGGCCGAGCTCACGGGGAAGACACTTGCAGAATGGCTTACACCAGCTGTCTTTCCTGCTGGGCTCCCTGAAGCTAACTGGGGATTTGTTTTTGTCTCTGCATGGCTTGGCTGAGGCATATTTACTCCAGAGGATGCAGGAGGCGCTCCTAAACCACAGACATTGCCACTGGATGTCAAGCTTGCCTGACTTTGACTCCTCACAACAGCAGCTTGCAGTCCTTGGGGAACACCCACAACGGCCTGCACAGCACTGGAGAGCAAAGCCTGCTGCGTTACAATCCATGTGAGAGGCAGCACGCTGTCAGGTGCCAAACGGGAGCTGGGCTGTGGAGCTAGAAGAGCAGGCAATAGATTGACTGGCCCAGGACGATTCAGTTCATAGGTAACTGGTGTGGGAAGAGACAGTTTGCTGTTGCCAGACTCTATGCCAAAAGGCACCACCATAACTCGATGTGGCACAAAAGCTTGATTTTGCAACACTACTGGAGCTGAGCTACCAGCTAGGACCTGACCGCTGCACCCTCCTTGATCTGGGGCCTTTCCTGCTGCACCTGGATTCAGGCTTGGAAAAACTCCTCTTGCAGGGGTATTTTGTGGAGCTTGCTCGTTTAGTTCCTTACTAGACTGTACTTTTGTCTCTTGTGAGGAACAAGGGCTCTCCCCAGCTTTTGACACTGATGGAGAATGGTTTTCAAGCACGACAGGGGTAGAAGCAGAACCAGCAACAGAAGCAAATGCTGACGGGGCAGCTGGCACACGTTGTACGTGGCTGGCTGCAGAGCCAACTGCTCCAGGTTTGCTCCCCACTTGTGCAGAAGGAATCACTTGCTGTGGTGGGTGCTGGATTATCAAAGGCCCTGAAAGCATCACCTGCGGGGCAACAAATACTTTTGTCTGCACAGCTTTCTCTTTTAGCTGCTTCTCCATCTGCCGCTTCTCTCTCAGCAATTCTGAGACAGTTTTAGGCTTCTGCCTTTGAGCCTGGGCTAGAGGAGCTGGAAGAGATGGGAGAACTGGAGGAGCTGTCTGCCTCTTGGGAGCAGGCTGCGATGCATCGCCTATAAGGTGAATAAGGGGGAAGAAAAACAAGTCTTCAGAAAGGAAGAAAGACTTTAGATGCTGTTTTGTAGCTATTAGATGTCAATTACCCTGCATAGGAAGTAGGAAAATTCCTGACTGGCAATTCTTACAACATTGTATTGTTGTGAGTACATGCTTGAGAGAAGTCTAACAGTGACAGCCCACAGACCATCAGGCAGGCACGATGACACCATGCCCACAGCCCTTCAGTATTTTCACCAGTCCTTACCAAAATGAATGCATTAAGCCAACAACTGAAAGAGCCAAGAGCTACGAGAAAGGAGCAAGGCAGTGCGTTTCGTTTCAAAGTTCTCCTTCAGTTCCACTGGTTATTAACACAGTGGTGATGAACTAAGTGCAAGTTCCTGTGCATCATAACACCAAATGCTCTGATAGGTACCTGAAGAAGACTCCGAGTTTTGGGAAGCCTGCAAAAAAAAATAAAAAGTAAATAAATTAAATTATACTTGAGACATATAAAGATCATTAAAACAGCACAGATGTCAATCAAAGCATCATCTGTCAGCCTCCTATGTAAATGGCCACACAGGCAGCACTTTACTCTGCTTCAAATTAACTGGTAACACACAGACAATACCAACTCACCACACTCACTGAAAAGCCTCTGTTTTACACAAGACTCCAGGGAAAAGCTTCGAAATAGTTGGTGCACAGTACCTGCTGAGGCCTGACTGCATCAGCCCTTCTCTCCCGAATGATCTTCATGCAGCCATTGGTGTCAATCCGAAAGAGCTGCAAGATAAGCATTTTGTTACCATTTGGTTCAGAAAAGGAATGTTGGTAGAGCCAGCAACACGACAAGGCGGATGGGAGAGGCTTCACATGAAAGACTCTGGTACACATTCACACTTGCAGAAAACTGTAACAGCATTAGGATGGATGCAGGGTTTACTAAATATAACATGCAAGCCAAGAGAACAGATTAATCTAGTAATTAGATTAATTCAAGTGAAAGATTTATAATTGTTTTTAAGCATCAAGTATGAAGATTACCACTCCTGTAAAGCAGATAATGCTATTAAGACAGCAAAACCTACCTGAATGAAAAGTGTGAACAGAGGAGTGCTGGAGAGACTGACCGACTTGAGCTTCTGTTGAATAGAATAAGCTAGAAAAAAAGGCCCACCATCAAAAAATCAGCTGAATATTCACTTGTAAGGTGCCAGAAAACAGGCACATAAAGGAGCACCATCTCTGATGGGTTAGCACTACCTTTTGTCTGATCAAAAGCCATCTTCCCAGTTCGCAAGGTGCAAGGCAGCAGCACGTCGCCCACCC